CCCCAAAACTGGAGTCCCATTTAATGGAATCACTTGGGAGTGAATGCATGCAAGCAAAGCCTGGATTTGAGCCCGTGGAAAATGCAAAGGCCAGTTGTGCCTCCATGGTGCGTTTGCAGCTTCAGAGCCCTTGGAAGATTTTAATCTTCCCACCCAGGAGGCCCTTTTAGAAAGGGGGAGAAACAGCTGTGAAGCTTTGAGGGAGCGATGAGCCCATGGAACCCTTTTGGTGGGTTCTGTCCTGGATGGGTGGTTCTCTGTTCTCCTTTCTCTTTCCTACCTAGGATCCCATCCTGTTTTCTGGCTCCTTGCGTATGAATCTGGACCCCTTTGACCAGTACTCTGATGACGACGTCTGGATGTCATTGGAGCTTGCTCACCTAAAAGCCTTCGTCTCCTCCCTTCCTGATAAGCTCCTCCATGAGTGTTCAGAGGGTGGAGAAAACCTCAGGTATAGAGGGCAACCGGACTTCAAAAGCCCCAGAGTTTTTGCCACACACAAGGGTGCGTGCATGTTAGGCACGTGTTTAAGAGCATGATGCTGAGCTCCGCCAAGCTTGTTTGCCTCTAAACTCTGGCTCTGCCAGCCCTTTGTTAAACTGGCACTGCTGAGAAAGCATCTGCTCGCTTTGCAGGAGTTCCACAGTTTTGGAGCAGTTTTGACTGGTCTCTGGCTGTGTGCCCAGCTCTCCCTGTAGGACTGATTCAGACTCAGGTGTGATTCTGGCTGCCTGGGAACCTAGGAAGAAGCAGATGTGAGCTCAGCCTTGCCTTAACACAGCACCAGGAGAAAAACCGTGCCTGGTGTTTACTTGGCTGGCTGTCTTTCCTGAGGGGAGGGGCGGTGCGCCCTCCTCCTCCTGGTTAGTCATCAGCTCAAGGACAGCCTGGCTCAGAATCCTTGGAGATAGTTGTGTTCTCCTAATCGTGTTGTTATGGAGGATCACACACGAAACTGACATAAGATCATCTTTATACATTGTACCAATTTAATACTTCCAGTGGGATAACAGAGGATGCATTTCTTTTTTCTTAATATATTTCATTCTCTTTCTTCTTTGATGTTCTTTCTTCCTCTGGATCTTTTTCTGTTTTTTTTCTGGTCCTGTTCTTAACTTTCTTTAATTGCAAAGAGGGGGGACAGAGAGAAGTGGAGCGGCCCATTTCTGGCTGCAGCCTTTTTGCAAAAGGAGGATGCAATGGATGTCTTAAGTATTCAAGGAAATTGGTTTCTGGCATGGGCTGTAATCTGGGGCAGTTTTTGCTAGCTGCCTGGAAAATGCCAGCCTGAGCTGTGCCTTGCGACTGAAATGATCAGAGTCCAGGCAAACATCTCCACCCTTTTAGGAGCAGCTGTAAAAAGTCAGTTTTGAGATAAACAGAAGCCAGGCTCTGCACGCGCACACACACACACACACACACACACACACACACACACACACACATCGGCCTGTGTCTGGGAAACAGGCACAAGGACACACACAGCCTCTCTTTACAAAATTCCTGTTTCATTTAAAAGGACGAAGCACCCAGCATGTTGCTCCTTTGGCATCTAACGCTTCCCTTTCTGCCTTCAAGTGTGGGTCAGCGGCAGCTGGTGTGCCTCGCTCGAGCCCTGCTGCGGAAATCCAAAATCCTAGTTTTGGACGAAGCCACCGCTGCGGTAGACCTCGAGACGGACAGCCTCATCCAGTCGACGATCCGGACTCAGTTTGAGGGTTGCACGGTCCTGACCATCGCGCATCGCTTGAACACCATCATGGACTACACACGGTAAGGCTCTGGGATTATTGGCCGCTGGCAGGAGTTGGCACGGGGCGGCCCTTGTGCAGGGAAAGGAAGATAGTGATGGACGGGGCTGTTGTCCGTTTAGGGTGATCGTCCTGGAGAAAGGCAGAATCGTGGAGTGTGGGGCTCCTGCTGACCTCATTGAGAGCAGAGGCGTCTTCTGCAACATGGCCAAAGATGCCGGCTTGGTTTGACCAGGTGAAGCCGGCCTTCCCACACACACACACGCCCAGGGAAAAGCACAGGCAGATTGGCAGCATCTGCCAGGACCCGTTTTGCACAAAGAGCCGGCACCTGGACAGTAGAACAGCTGCTCCCTCTTCCTCCTCGCTCTAGAGGAGAAGCACAGCAGCTTGGGGCGCAGAAGGGGCTCCCCTGACTTGAAGGACCATCTTGCTGGAATTACCGTCTGCACCAAAAAATCTATATTTTATCTTATTCTGGTGATGGGAGAAAGGATCCAGAGAAGCAGCTGCAGGAGATTCAGAAAGAGCCCTTTTGGTTTTCTAACAGCTTCCTTCAAGAGTTGCAGAAGGTCAGAGGCTGTTAAGATGCAGAAGAGGAAAACTGCTCTTTCCCCCGTAGGGAGGTTCAGCCCCAGCCGCCTTCGCAGCTCTCCTGGCGCTGCCTTGTCACATTTTAAGTGAAGGAGAGCCCTCTGCCAGCTTGGGAATTTAGAAACATCCGTTTGAATAATGTGGACCTTTTTTTAAGGGAAAACACCCTAGACATCTCTTTTCATAGAAGATAATTATTTAATTTTTGTAAATAAATTTCTCCAAAGTTGAGCAGACTGAAATTTTCTTTGATGCTTTTGTAGTAAATTGTTTTTAGTTGGAGAACGGCCCTTTCTGTTCCTTCTCAAGAGGCCTTGGGGGGTGTCTCTTGGGGGGGGTCACATTTCCACCAGTCTGTTTACATGTAAAGTTGTGCACCAAAACTGGAAAGTGCTTTAAAGGCTCAGCAACCACAACCCTCCAGGCCTGTGAAGCCAGGAAGCCCTTCCTCTGTAAAGTCACCCATTCACTTCAAGCCGAGAGGGGAGAGGTTTGTGTTGTGAATTGTGAATTGGATCACAACATAACACTTGTTGCATGGAGGTTGCAGCCTCATCTTGGCAGCGCCCCTTTCGATGGCCGAATCAAGGCAAGCGGAGGGGGAGGGGATCTCTTTTCCCTGGCACCAATGCCCACTGAAGAAGCCCGGTGGCCAGCGCAGCTGCCCTTGCTGTCCCCTGCGGAAGGCCAAGTGCATCAGAGGCCACTTTGGCTGGCCCTGAGTGAGGGTGGCAGGTTGCCAGGATGAGCCACCTGTTCCCCAATGCAGGTGAGCCCAGCCCTGGTTTTCTGCAGGCCCCCTGATCTAGGATTTATTTATTTATTTACATTTCTATACCGCCCTTCTCCCGAAGGACTCAGGGCGGTGTAGCGCCATATTAAAACAAACCCATCACAAAAATTAAAAACAGTTAAAATAATTAAAGCAATTTGGCCGTTTTTTAAAACCCTTAACTAAAACCCCTTTAAAACCAATTTAAAACCCATTAACATTAATTTATTCGGTCAGGCCGGCTTGATTGAACAATAGAGTCTTCAGAGCACGACGGAAGGCGTGAAGGTCGGGGATCCTTCTTATATCCGGGGGCAGCTCATTCCATAGGGCAGGAGCCCCCACAGAGAAGGCTCTCCCCTGGGGGTTGCCAGCCGACATTGCTTGGCCGACGGCACCCTGAGGAGGCCCTCTCTGTGAGAGCGTATCGGACGGTGGGAGGCATTCGGTGGTAGAAGGCGGTCCTGTAGGTATCCCGGTCCTAAGACATGGAGCGCTTTGAAGATGGTGACAAGCACCTTGAAACGCACCCGGAAGACCACTGGGAGCCAGTGCAGCTCGCGCAAGAGAGGTGTTACCCGGAAGCGATGAGTTGCTCCCATAACCACTCCCGTGGCCACATTCTGGACCGGTTGGAGCCTCCGGGTGCTCCTCAAGGGGAGCCCCATGTAGAGAGCGTTACAGTAGTCCAAACGGGAAGTGACAAGGGCATGAGTGACCGTGCGTAAGGCGTCCCGATCCAGAAAGGGACACAACTGAGAAATCAGGCGAACCTGATAAAAAGCCCCCCTGGCCACGGCCGTCATATGATCATCTAAAGACAGCCGCGTATCCAGGAGGACGCCCAAGTTGCGAACCCTCTCCGAGGGGGACAAGATCTCCTCCCCAATAGCCAGCGATGGTATCAGGGAGGGTATATCGGATGCCTCTGTAGCCGCTGCGGGGAGGCTGTGTGGCCCCGGTCGCACTGCCAGCCCTGCCTCCCTGAAGGGCCCTGGCCCCACAGATGCCCCGAGCACTGGCCAGGCTCCCAGCAGAGCCCCCTGCCCCTCCCAGCGACTGGCCACCCCTGCTTTTTCCCCACAGCAAGGAGGCTGGGCCGGGTCTCTCCCTTTGGAAAAAGTAGGATCACCTCCAGCTCTTCCTTTTTGCAAGACAGTTTTATTTCAAAAGCTGAAAAAGTCAGGACTAAGTTTGGAAGCAAATCAGAATAAAGTTGGATTTGCAGAGCCAACATCTTTCAAGTGCTCCAGAGATTTGCCTCCCTCTCTAACTGCTCTGTGCCCCATGATCCGCAGGACAAAAGGCGCTTCTTGAAAAGCAAAGCTGAGTCTCGGTCGTGGTGCCCTTGCCAGCAGCACCTGCTCCGCTTTCCAAGGCAGCCACAGGGCCTCTCTTTCCCCGTTGGGCTGGGGGAGAGGGCTGAGGCCAAAGGGTCTACGCTCCCTAAACTGAGAACCCTCGGATCGGGGAAACACCCAGCCCTGGCATCACAGCAGGCGCTTCTGACGCCCACATCAGTGGCTCTGTTCCTAGGCATGTGCCATGAGGGAAAAGGCGAGAGCCAGCTGGAGCCCTGCATGGCTTGAGCCAAATATTGAAAGTGGCCTTCCTTTGGCCCTTGTAGGTTGTGCCGCAAACTCTCCCTGCAGAGGCCTGGCCTAGAGGGGTGGCGGCAGCCTCCGTGTGGTCCTTTCGCTCCTTTGCAAGAAGCCGGGACCCGCTCATCCCATGGGCAGCTGTGTGGGCTGCGGCAGGCCGGAGTTTGGGAGAGCGGCTGGAGAGGTGGTCGTTGCTCCAAAGGCCTGGTCTTGAAGAGAGGCTGGACCGGCCCCACAAGGCATGGCAGGGAGGACTTGGGGGGCATTGTACGAAAGGGGGCTTTCCTGGCATCGGGGCCCGGATCCGCTCAGAGGCGCTTGTGGACGCCCAGGAAGGCGTTGCAGCAGGGGCAGAAGTGCTGGACGTCCTGCATGGCATCCACGCAGAAGGGGATCAGGCAGCAGCCCAGCCAGCACCTGCGGGAAAAGGCAGAGCGTGGTCAGTTCGTTCCAGCTGGGCGAGGGAGGAGGAGGAGGAGGAGGAGGAGCTGCCAAGGGGACCAACTTACCCCACCAGGGCAAGGCCGCCACAGGAGAGCCAGGCCAGAGCTCCAGGCTGGTATGAGATCCGGGTTACAATCATCTGGTTGCAGGCAGGACAGCAGATTTGCATGGGGTGCTCCAGGAAGATGAGTGGCCCCGGGATGTAAACGGTGTGGATGGGCACTGGTGAGAGAAGGAGAGGTGGGGGGTTCTGGGGTGCCCCTCACAGACGCCCCAAGAACAGCTCCCAGGACCAGACCAGCTGAGGCCAGGCCGGGCCCCCTCCCCCACCCAAGCAACCTCCTGCAGATGCCACTGGGACTCACCTGGAGGTATTGCTGGGGCTGGCTGGGGTTGCATGCCATAGGGCTGGGGTGGGAATGGCGGCTGGGTCTGGGCTGGGTAAGGGGCCGGTGCCCCCTTCGCAGGAATTCCCCCTGCAGGTGGGTAGGGATGCGGAGTTGGATTACTGGTGGTGGTCGATTCTTCGTAAGACGGTGGAGGAGCTGAGGAAGGAGTAGCCATGTTTCTAGGAGAGAGGCCAAAAGGAAGCTGGGGTGCTTGGTGGCCCCTTGGAGAGACAGCCCTGCCAGGAGGAGGGGAGGAGGAGCGGACCAACAGTGCTGCCCCAAAGGGAAAAGAAGCTGGCAGTGCCTCAGATGCCCAGAGGAGTTCCACACTCCTGGTCATCTCCCTTTGGCCCTCTTCCTCTCTGAGGCTCTTTGCCTGCCTCCCCAGGCAACAGACATTTCCTCTTGCAGGGCTGTTCCAGGAATTAAACTCTACACCCACCCCCACCCCCAGCAATATTGACAACAGCTCAAATAATGACCTTGGGGAAGCTCTGAGTCAGCTCCACAGCCAGGAGCTACCTATGGTGATGAGAAAGACACTCAAGGGAACTTGGTCTGGTTTAGAGTGAGAAAGCCTTTAAGAGTTGGTTTTCCTAACCTACAACCATCAGTTGGCTTTCCTGGAATCCCTGCCCTGCCAGTTTCTTAGCCTGGCCTACCTCAAAGGACTGGCACTCTTGTGCCAAGAATGCTGCCACCCAGAGCAGGCCCTTAACCCGGGATCTCCTTCACCCCAGGAGAAGGTTGTCACCAGGTGTTTGTCACCCAGGCCAGGGTCCCTAAGAGGAACCAAGGCTCCTGGGAGAGTTTTCTAATGACTCAGGAGAGAGAGGAAGAGCTTCAGGGAAAGTTACACACACACACACACACACACACACACACACACACCATCTTGGTCTCAAACTTTTCATTTGGAGAAACCTCATTTGGGGAAATGGATTCTGTAATGTCTGAACAGACATCATAAAACCCAAATAGCTAGAAGTGAGGGATGTGGGTGACAGGCAGTCCTTACTTGGCTCACTCCCTAGGCAGGATGGGGGCAGCCCCAGAACGATGAATGCCCTTGTGGGTTCAGACCCCACCAGCCCTGAAAGTGGCCCCAGGAGGAGTTTGCACAACTTTGCAAGTGTGCAAAATTGCCTGGTCCGAGCAGCCTGCTCTCAGCAAGGGGCAGCCCCCTCCCCAACTCCACTGCCTTCCTCTTGGGGGCTGACTGTGGCTGCCTCCCTCATGCAGGGCTTCAAGGGCCGCGCAGGTGTCAGAGAACCAGGCAGGGCCGAGGGACAAATCGTCAAGACCTGCCAAACCGGACCTTTGGCCAGGCAGCCCAGCCTCTCTGCTTTGTCTTCTCACCGCCTCTTTTTATGACTTCCGTCCCACTGCCAAGAAAATGGCTTCAAGCTCCTCCTCCCCATAGCTTGTGAAGTGACTGTCAACCCCACCCTGCCATTCCCCGAAGCCCAGAAATCAGCCCGGAACTGCCTCTCCCCAGGCTGCTATTCTGCAATGTTTCTCGTTACACAACCGGGACTTTGATTTTCAACACTTCCCCGAATGAGGAAAGCCTGCCCCTCCCCACCCTTCCTCCCACCGACAGTGCAGTTGCCTGCAGTCCCTGGCCTCCTGTGCAGTTGCGGAGTGGGAGTGGAGGGGTCCCACTCTTTGCAAGGGGAGCAGCTACCCCCCCCCCCGCCCAGGACCCAAGGGGAGGAGAGGGGAGTCATTTCCATCTCAGCCAAGCCAGTTGCTGTCAGAATTCCTCAAGGGGAAGTGAGGAGGAGACAACACACCCACCTGCCGAGGCCCCAGAGTGGCTCTGGAGATGCCCAGGCCCCTAAGAAGCTGGGGGAGGGGCCCAGTCAGCCTTTGTGAGGTCAGCAGGAGCCACAGCTATGCCAACCTCATAGAGGGCAGCCCCTTTGACTGCCTGTGGGGCAAAGCAGCTCACCTGCCTTGGGTCACAACGCTGCCCTATACTATCAACCCTGTCACCTCCCGTGTGAGTAATAGTCACTGGCCATGGCTGCCTGTCCTGTCCCACCCCAGTTTGTGGGGAAGTGGTCAACTGTCCCGAGCAGAGTGCAAGGACTGAAGAGAAAGGGAGGACAGGAACCCAGCAAGTGAGAAACTGCCTTTTGCTTTTGGGCTTCTTCGCCAGGGAGATGCCATAATCCATCCCTGGGGCTGTGATTGTGCCAATAAGACTCACCTGTGCAGCAATTTTTGGGATGCCAGGATGATGATTAAACTCTGCCACCAGAGAGATAGATAGATAACTTAAAAAAAAAACCCACACTTGCAGAAGGGAGTGAGTGGAAAGTTTCAATGCCCACCAGGTTCAAAAGAAACTCTGCTTCAAAAGAAAAGTGCAGGAAAATGGGACAGAGGTCAGACCTCTCAACTGATGGTCCAACTGAAATCCTGAAGGCCTTTTCCCTTCTTATGGGACAGGGGGCTGGACTAGATGATCTCTAATATCTCCAGTCCTTGCACTCTGATTCTAACTATTCCAACCTTCTGGAACATTTAGTGCGGCCTTCAACCTGCACGGCCCATGTGCTATGGCCCCCCGATATCGTTTTTTATGGCTGTAAGGGTTTGTGATGCGGTGCCCTAAATTGATTTTTAAAGGACAGAAAACGTTTCACCTATTTGGCTTTAGCAGGAAATTCGGCTAAAGCAAGTTTTAAAGCCCTTCCCGCAGCGCCCCGAAATCTCCGCCCCAATTCCTCCCCTGCGCAGCGCCCGACGTTTGCCCAGGCTTAAAGCGGAAAGTGGCTCGCCTGTAAACCGGGGAACGGGAAGAGGCCGATGGGTTTGTTCGCGCTGCCCCCAGACGGGATCCGGGTGGTTTCAGCGGGGCAAAAAGACAAGTTGTTTCCTGGAGCCGCAGCGCCGACCTCAGCCAGGCTGCTGGCGGGGTCCAGAGAAGCCCCACCGAGGCCCGGGCGTCCGGCGGAGCAGCAGAGCGGGGCGGGCGGGCCCTCGGGGCAGGCCCCCAGCCCCTGGAGCCCCACCCGCCCCGTTCCCCGAGGAGCTCCCGCTTGGGCTCCTAAGCCACCCCTCCCCGTCCTTCCCCTCCCCCTGCAAGAGGGGCAGATCGCCCCCCGGAAAGGCGAGCCGAGAGCCCGGCCCAAGCAGCCCGCCGCCCCCGCTTCGCCCTCCCGCGCGGGGCCGAGGCGGGAGAGAGCCGCTTTACCTACCGGTCGCCAGGCACGCGCTTCAGCTGCTCGCCGTCGGGCTCTTCCGCCTGGCTGGACCGCAGCCCGTCCTCTAGGCCGCGCCCCTCCCGCCCCGCCCCACCCTTCCTCGCTGGCGGGCCGCCGTCCCGGCCAGGGCTGGCAGAGGTGCTTTGCCAGACGACCCGGCCCGCGCGGCGCCTTTCAAAGCGGCCCCGACGGCTCCGCCGCCGCCCGACCAGCCCGCCGAGGGCGCCCGCTTGGGGACCGGGCCGCGTTGCCGGTCGACGCGGGCGAAGGGAGCCCCCGGCCCCGGTTTCTCTGCTCCGCTGTTCTTCTGCCGGACTTGGAGAGCCGTGGAGCAAGCGGAGCCTTTCCTAGGGCCTGGAGCTGGCCCGGGCCGGGAGGCAGGAGTGGGAGGCTCCCGGCTGCTTCATCCATGCCCACACGGACTCAAGGAGTTTTGGTGGCCGAGTGTGCCAGGCGCTGTTGCTCTGGAGGCAGACTCTCCTCCTTCCCTTAGGATATGCCCAAACATGCTCACCTGTGTTGATAGGGTGCCCTGAGCTGAACCGGCCGTCTAGGGGCTCGCTAGCTTCCTTCCTTTGGTTCCTCCCTGGAGGCACAGGGTGGGCCTCTTTGCTTTGACAGCCCTCAACAACCGAGGCTCAGCTGGACATGGAGGGGAGGGTCTTTCCGTGGGCAGGATGGCACAGAGAGCAGCCATCCCTTCAAGAGACCTGCAGCCTCTTGAAGACCAGATGATCTCTGATCTCCTGGCACATGTCACTGTATGCCAGGAGCGGGGGAGGGGGAGCATCTCATGGTTATAGTCTGTCTTAAAATGGGGCAGGCTGGATGGCACCCCCAAAATTAAGGGCTCCTTCCTGCCCGCATCCCCCTACATTCATTTCCCCTCCCTCCCCTTTGTTCCTCACACAGTTCTTCCATTTATACTCTCCTCTCCCCCCCTGCTTTGCTGAGCTCAGACTTCCATAAAAAGATGGTCCTGCTAATTAAAGCTCCAACGTTCCTCCTTCCTTTTTTGACAACTGACCCATTTTTCTCTTTCTGGCTTCACAGCCCCTGGAGACAATCATGCCTCCCCCCCCATCACAAGCTTTTTACAGGCTGCCCCTTGGAAGGATGGGGTGGGTGAAGGTGGGTCATCCCCATCTCTCCTCCTACAGGTTGTGGTCCCAGAGACAATGCTGAACTGGGAAGGCTGGGGACGGGTCTGTGGTGGTGGTCGTGTGTGGGCTGGCAGGAGAAAGAAGCCTGAAGACCAGCAGGTGCCGGAGCCTGGGAAGGAATGGGCCAGAGCATCCTGCAGGTCGCAAGGGTGGGAGTCAAGCAGCCTCTTCTGCACCCACCCCCCGCCCCTCCTCTCTGAGGGGGACTGGAGAGGAGGAACTGGCTCGCAAAACACATGGTGCTTGGTGGGACACCTGAAGACCCTCTAGCCCATCTTACATTGAACAGAGGCACGCAGCCTTTCTGCCACTGTCTTTGCTTAATTCTGTTCCAGATGGCGGCCAGATTGTCTTTGCTTCTCCAGCAGATTGCAGCAGAACAAATCCTCCCCCTGAGGCTCAGGGAGGGGCTACTACAATGTGGGCAGAAGGGCGCTTCCTTTCCCAAGCTGCATTTCACGCCAGGTGGGCCCTTCTTCCAGCCCCTCCCTGGAATTGTTTGGCGTAGCAGATCAATCCATCTGTGCTCCCTCTAGGTCTCTGAAGTTGCCACTCAACCCTTTCCCTGTCTTACTGAGAGTCGAAAACGGTGATGCTGAGACTTCCATTCTGAGTCAGGGAGCTCTGCCCCTAAGGATGCTGCAGAAACACACGGGGGAGGGGGAAGAGGAACAGCCCTCCCCCCCCCCCCCGGCCAAGGGTCGAGCTCTGCCACCCAAGGGCCACAGGGGCTCAGCCCAGTTCAGCTTTCGGGGATAGTTCCCAGGAGAGCTGCCCCCAGCTAAGAACTCATGGAAATGTTTGACAGGAACTTGATGAAAAAGCATGGCAGAAGGCGGTGGTGTTTATTCCCAGATCTCCCCTCGGGCTGCTTGAAAGTCACTTCAGTCAGTGAAATTCACTTCCTTGGCTTTGGATATTCTCTACCTGTTTGCTAAAGAGCATATATGTGCCAAGAACCTGTGGTGTCTCCTTGCTGTCCTGCATTTCCTGCAGATAAAATACCCTTGGTCTACTTGTGAGCATTGCAACATGTCAACCATCTCTAAAAATATTCTGCCTGCAGTTTACTGCGCATGAGATCCCAGGGAGGCAGTTGAGGGCTCTCTCACTCAAACGTCCACAAAGCCTTTGGGGCCAGGAGCAGCTTCCTCCCCTCCCTCCCAAAGGAAGGCTGCCCGCCCTCCCAAGTCATGTTGTGCCAAGAAGTTGGATGCAGAGTGGGAATTCTTCCCAGTCTGCTCTGCTGGAGAGAAAAGATAAACAATTTAAGCTTCCATTACAGGAAAAAGCAAAGAGGCCAGGAAACGTCTCCATTCAGGTCTGTTTATGCCAGCAAGTGTGTCGAGGTTCATCATTTGTGTGATGCCGTAATGTGCAAAACCAGATTTTGCATGACTCCTTTTCTCACCACTGCTGCCTGGTGTTCTCTGCCAAGAATGGAGACTGCCAGTTTAGTCTTTATTTTCCCCCATTTGTTTGTTTTAAATAATATGCCACACAAAGTTTCTTCCATAGTAGCAGTGCATGCAAAAATAGCTCAGTATAAAATTACAATATAATTTGACAATTTTAACAGATAGAAAAGCATTTTTAAAAAGTCTTCCTCAGGAAGCAAACGGGCCAATCCTTTGAGAAAAAATGAGAAGACACACATTTATCAGAGCAAGTGAGTCTTCTGACATCACATGGTGCAAACCAGTAGAACAAGGGAGCAACTTTTCTCCAATGTTTGGCAGAGCCTCGCTGGGCAGACTGGCATATCCAGAAAGAGGAAAAGTTAAGAAATAGACCCAGAGCTATGAAGGTGGGCCCAGGTGGCCATCAGCTTGCAAAGGGGGTTGACCAGCTCATGATGCTCAGCCCCCAGCTTTGAGATTCCCTCCAGCACTGGAAACTCCATGGGTGGGGTGAATTCCACGGGGAATTGCAGTGGGAGGGGGTCCTGCTCGTGGTAAGCTCAGAATCCCAGGAGGAGCCTTTGCCTGCATCTGTGGGACGCTCCAGAAAAGCTCCCGGCTGTCTCTGCAGCAGGTGAAGGGCCCTCCTAGAGCAAAGATGGCTGCAGAAACCAGCCAGGGAGATGTGCCACAGCCAGCCAGTTTTCCTGCCCGGTTCAAATTATGCCAAGGTCCCTTGGAAAGTGAAAGAGGCTGGGCGCAACAGGAAGGAGGAGCCGGCTCGCCTATGTTCTGGGCCCACGGGAGCCCTAGCCGGCAGATTTCTTGCCCGGGCAGGGGTGGGGCGGGGGCTGCCTTGGGTTCCCAGCCTCTCTTCTCAGCATCATTTTCATGAGAAAAATCGGCAGAGGGAGGCGCGGCTGTGCAGGAAGCTCTGGGCTTCGCCAGATCGAACAGACCCCGGAGAGAGCGAGGGAGAGCTGCAGGAATCACGGGCAGGAGAGCCACAGAAGAGGCACCCAAGAAACAGGGCAGCCGGCACAGCGCCGCGAGCCCTCACCCTCACGGCAGGCGCGGGCCGCGATGCGGCGGCCGGAGAGCCGCGGGGAGGCGGAGAGCGGCGCGCGCCTGGGCCGCCCCCAGCCCCGCCGCGCCTCCTCCGGCCCCGGCCGCGGCCCGCCCTCCGCCGTCAGCTGCTGCCAAGCGAGCTCCAGCGCCCGCGCCCATTGGCCGCCCACGCGCCTTATAAGGCTGCGCCAGGCGGCGGCCGGCAGTGCGGGCTCTCGGGGCTCCGGCATGGGGGCTGCGCGGGGGCTGCGGCGCGCGAGGGGCCGGGCGACGACGACGACGACGGCCGGCAGCTCCAGCTCGACGCCTCCTCGGGCGGAAGCGCGGCCTCCCTGGTGAGCTGCAGGGCCGGGGCTTCTCGGGGCGACGCCGCTCTCCCCTGCCCGCTGCCGAGCCCGGAGGGGGGCGGAGGGAAACGGCGCCTGCGGCACAAGAGGCGTCGGGGGCGGCCAGGGCATCGCCGCCCCTCCCCGGCCCCGCGCTGGGCGAACAAAGGGAGGCTGCTGCGCCGGCTTCGTCCTCGCGGGGCGCCCGGGCCTCTCCCCGCTGCCCGGGCCCGATGGCCGCGTCGGCTGGCAGCAGGGGGCGGGGGGCTCCTTTGTTCGGCGGCGGCGGCGGCGAGCGCGCGCCTTTGCCCCGGAGCCTTTGCCGTGACGCACCGGCGCCGCTGCTCCCGAGCTGTGCGCTCTGCCCACCGCCTTCGAGCGCGGGTGCGCCTTCCCCTCCGCGGCTTCGGCCTTGCCTTCCGAGGGGAGGCGGGGGGGGGGGGGGGGGGTCGCTTGAGCGCCGGGGTCGGCCCCTGGGGCCCCCCGCCTCCTTCGGGAGCCTCCCTCGCCTGGAAAGGCCGCTCAGCCGCTGGGAGACCGGAGCCTGTTGCCCGCCTTGCCTTCTCTGAGCCGGCCGGGGAAAGAGGCAGAGCTCGGCAGGCTGGCGACCCCGCCTCGGGGCATCGGATAGGGCGCTGCTGATGCGCTGGCAGGGGGGCGAGCGAAAGGAGAAGCCGGGCCTTTGGGGCGTCACGCGGGGAAGGCGCCTCCGTTCCTGCCTCCCTCTGGGCCCCTGGCAAAGATGCCCGAGGCGCTGGGGAAGGGTCAAGCGGAAGCTGGCCTGGGCTTGTGGGCTGCGGTCCCGCCGGGCTTCAGGGCCTCACCAGTTTCTGCCTCTGCAGGCGCTGAGCCCCTTCCTCTGCCGAGGAGGCAGCTTCCACCGCGGAGGGCCCGGGGCCCCCTTGCAGCCGCTCGCCATGTCCATCATGGATCACAGCCCAACCACGGGGGTGGTGACCGTCATCGTCATCCTCATCGCCATTGCAGCCCTGGGCGCCCTGATTCTGGGCTGCTGGTGCTACCTGCGCCTCCAGCGGATCAGCCAGTCGGAGGACGAGGAGAGCATCGTGGGCGAAGGCGAAACCAAGGAGCCCTTCCTCCTGGTCCAGTATTCTGCGCGGGGACCTTGCACGGAGAGGAAGGCCAAGCTGAGCCCCAGTGGCCCCAAGGCGCACGGCTAGCGGGATCCCACAGATACTGTGAAGGACACGCAGGGCTGCGCTCACAGCCATGCATGCCAGAGGAAGATGATCCTCCTTGCTCCTGGCATGAGGTCTGTTGCCGGCAATGGACGGGGGTGGGGTGGGGGACAGACGGCGTGTGCTACTCAACCTGCTACTTGAATTGCCCACTGAGCCCTGACATAATGTGAGCAGCTGCGGAGGGAGTGTGTGGGGAGCCTCTCCAGGAAGAAGCAACACGCAGGGTGTGAGCCACTTGGAGTTAGAGACACCGCCTGCGTGAGCCCTGCAGGGATTTCTCCATAACCAGGGTGTGTGTACGATGTTGGATTTGCATCGCCTGTTCCAGGACAGAAGACCAGTGCTGGTATCGGCAGCTGCAGCTGCAAAATGCGGCTTCTGGACAGCCGTTTGTTGGTGTACTTTAATAGGGGCTCCAATGTCCATGAGGGCCCGGCCAATGCTGCCTGGTAATGATGGGAGCTGCAATCCAATGATGGGAGCCTGCTCTCCCTGAAGTGAGGGGGGGTGTCTTGGGGGGAATAGCCGTTTGATTGCTGAAAGCAGCAGCAGCCCCCCACCCCCAGCCAGTGACGACCGCTTTCCTTTTGGGGTGCAGTCAGAAGGCTGCCGGGTGGCTGGATTTGGGGCGTGTGCAGCAGAAGGGCAGAAAGGCCCTTGTGTAACCAGCCATTTCTTTGCCTGTGGATGCAGAGTTCGGTTTGGGGAGGGGGTTGTTGGTGTTCCTCAGATGTACAGTTCCCAGTGAGTGTATTTTTGTAGCTAAACCCGTCCCCTTCAAGGGGCTTCTGGGAATACCCAGCCAAGCACCAGGGGAGAACGTCCCACCTCCCAGCATCTTTGACCTTTCTTTCACTTATTTCCACTTGTGCTTTTATGGCCAAAGGGAGACCCTGATACTTTGAGAAGAAGCCCCCCCTTCTTTCTTTGGCCTAAGCAATAGACTTAGAGCCCCCCATTTCAGCCCCTCTGACCAGCTGCTGAAACACAGTCAACGGGGCCTCTTGCACAGCTTTGCCTGGAGTTCCCCCTCCTGTTCACGGCTAGCAGTTTGGTGACCCCATCTTGTTGCCCTCAACTGTGTAAATGTTGCTTGCCACTGACCTCTCATCAGCCCCCCCACACCCCCCAGGCTGTTTCATTCTCCCAGAGCAGGGCAGGCATGGCAGAGGCTCCCTCAGCCAGAAGGGGCAGAGCAGCTCTGTGCCAGGAACAGAGAACGAAGGGGTACCGTGGGGTGGAAGCCTTGCTCCCCCCACTCCTTAACTGTATAATTAACACTCCTGGAAGTTCTCTAAAGAAAAATTTGAAGGTAACATTTTGTGTTTGAATATTTTGTGTAAATCTGGCACTGATTTTGAGCCAAAAAAGGAAAAGCACTGATGGGATAATCTTGGCTTGTTTGTGGGTAGGGAAGAGGGAAGGGAAAGAGAGGCCTCATGTGGCCACCCTCCAAATTGTTTAATTTAGGTTAAACCGGTACAAAATCTATCAAATTAGTGCAATTTTAAAGTGCAAAGAACAATCCCTGCAATTTGACAATTTCACAAATCCAGAGCCATGCCACTCTGGGTCCACGACTCATCAAAAAAAATACTCTCCCGTTTTTCTACTCCAGCAAAAGGAGGGAGGTTTTCTAGTGACACTTCAATAAAGTTTGCATAAAGGCTGCCTCTCTGCTCCAGACTCGGCTTGCTTGTTATTCCAGGCTCAGCAGAGCTACTCTGTCCAATTCTCCTTACTGTGCTCCGCGGGGACCCTGGAGTCCAGCGGGGCAGCCCCCTCCTTCTCCACCTGGGGAAAGTGGTCCCGCCCAGGGGACGGGAGGCCTGCGGCGTCCTCAGGGGGGAGGCTGCGTTCCGAGCCCACTTCTGCTGCCCGGTGTTTCTCTGCAATGGCCAGCAGGACTTTCAGGAAGGTGTTCTCGGTCAGGAGGGTCTCCGAGGCCTCTGCCAGCTTCCGCAGCTTCTCGGCCATGTCTTCCAGCTGCCAGGTCCTCTGGCTGCACAGCCCCTGCAGCTGCTCCTGGTGGCTCTGCTGCTGCTTCAGGGCGTGGGTCTCTCGCTGTAGCCGCTGGCTCTCGCTCCGGGTTTCGGACAGCTGCTCCTGCAGCTGCCCCTGGGCCTGGTGGAGGGCCTGGATCTCTGCCTTCAGCAGCCTGATCTCCTTTTCCAGGTGGGCGATGCGTGCCTGCTGGAGGTCGGTCTCTTGCCAGAGGCCGGGCTCCCAACCCGCAGCCAGGAAGGGTGGGCTGGAGTGGCGGAGGATGAATTTCAGGAGGTTGGGCACGCTAATCAGGGAAGATGCGGGGAACTTGGAGCTCTGGTCCTTGCTAGGAGAGCAAAAGAGAGGTGTGAGCCTTGCTGGGTACGGGGTCAATGGTGGCATAACAAGAGTTGGAAGAGACCTTAGAGGTCTTCTACTCCAACCCCCTGGTCAAGCAGGAAACCCTAGCCCGTTTCAGACGAACGGCTGTCCAGTCTCTTCTGGACAACCTTCTGCTGATGAGAAGCCCTCTTAGCCTGGGTTAAGAAAGGGACTGAACCCTTGGCACGTCCCTCCCAGGCAGCCTTTCCCTCGGTTTTGATTTTGTTCAGCTAGGAGAGCAGAGCAGAAGGGATCCCTGGTTTGGGGCGAGTCTGGTGCTGATCTCAGTGGCCATTGTAAGACTCCCAAGAATCTACCCAAGGACTTGAAGACAGCAGGGAGGGAGCTGCTCTGCCAGTTTCTATCCCAGGAGCAGAAGGGCAGGAAATACAGGCTCTGGGCAGCAGTAGCAGCTGTTTGTTCATCCTGCCCAACCTCTGGGCCAAGATCCCAGCTGGCAAGTCCTGGATCCCTCCTCTTTGCAGGTCCAAGTCAAAATCAGCTGGGCCAGTGCTCCTTATGACTCCGCAACAGCTGAAATTCCAACCTGATTTCCCAACCCGAATGGAAAAGAAACATGGTTCTGATATAGTTGCATCAGCCCTATTTCTGAGACCCTTTGGGGTCTGGACCAAATCCAAACGGTCCTTGAACTTCTTCAGGCTGCTCTCAAGGTGCACCGTGCCAGGAACTGCACGAAGGTGCAAAACCCAAGTGAAGGCAAGTGAGCCGGAATTTGCAGCATTCTTTTCCTCAGAGGCAACAAAAGCAACAATTAAATTAATTGCAGCTGAACTTCAGTCCGTGTTCCCACCCACCACCACCACCACTTCAGATTACTGCAAGCGGAGGAGGAAAAGCAGCCTCCTGTGCACTCTGCAGATTGTGGAGGCCTCATTTAGGGAGCCCACCCCTTAAAATATCGCTGTTTAATCCTGAAGCCCAGGTGTGGGAAGAAACTGAGCAGGAAATCCCCACTTTGGGTTTCCTTAATGGCCACTTCTCAGTGCTGGAGAAAGGAGCTCTGGCCTACTTTCAATGCAATGGCGCCTGTGACATCAGGCCAAGGACTAACCGATTTCCCCAACCGGTCATGTGGCTTTGGGAGCCAGTTTGGTTAAGACACCGGGCCGGAAACCAGGAGACTATGAGTTCCAATTCTGCCCAGTTGGGTGACTTGGACGAGTCCCTCTCCCTCAACCCTAGGAAAGAGGCACTGATCAGCCAGGCTTGCCAAAAAAACTGCTCATCCAGGAACCAACACTAACTTGGAGGCAACAACATCAACAACAAAATTGTTGCTTTTAAGCAGGCAGCCCTTTCAGATACAAAGCGGTTTCTTGTTGCATTGAAATTCTCCTTTCTGAAAAAAGCATTTTATGCTAATGATTTACAAAACTAGGGTGTGAACTAGTTTTCACGACTTTTTGAGCACCTTGCTGTTTTGTCTTCAGTTATTCTGCTTGTACAATTTGCAATACATTTTTTCCCTGATAATCAAGGTTTTTACTTGAGACTTAATCCAACATAGTATTATTGCAATTAAGTTGCCTTCCCATATTATACATATATCTTATGAAAATCTTACAATCCAGATGCAAAATGTACTACTTGCCGATCATGAGGAAAAAACAGGATGTTGGGTAGGTGGTCAGTCATGAATTCCCAGGGGAGATCATTCTGAGAAACGTCAATCCTATTAAAACAGAGAAGCACGCAGGGTGTGACAGGCTGCAGGCTTTGGTAGAGAGGCCTCCCAAAAGAGACCCTCCTTTCCAGGGAACAGCAACTGGGGTACTAAGTCAAGCATCAGCAAGCTCTGCTCAAAATCAAAACATCAAAATGGCTTCATTTGGATTTACACACAATTGGGATTTGTTCCTGCAGCATTCAGATCACACCTGGCAAAAACAAGCAAAGCAACAGGAGAAACAACCTTTAAAGAGCACCTCTCCTCTGGCCACTGAGCCCCGCAGAGCACCTGCCGATTAGGGGTCACTCATGATGGCTTCCCTCCTTCTCCCCCTAGAAAGGCATGAGAAGAAAGGGGTGGAGGGGCCCCAGGAGACTTTTCCGAGAGAGATTCCAGTTTCCATCACTTTCCTAGTGGGGACTTGGCCAGGAATAGGCAGAAGGGGTCCTGGCTGTAGACAGAAAAGCCAGGCAGGTGCCCAGACCCACACTGGCCCCCTCGGAGCTTCCTGGGCTCCAGCTCCCCCAAAATGGCACCGAGACCCCCAAAGGCAGAAGGGGTGAGGTAGCCTCCTCTCCCTCTTCGGCACCAGGAAATGATCCCCTCAGATTCCAGGAGCAAGAAGGAGACACCTGCCTACCTGGCCACCATGAAGCGCTTGGGGGGCAGAATCCGAGCCAGCTGGATGAAGATGTGGCTGAGAGAGGCGCAGAAGCCGCACCAGGGGGCGTAATAGAGCAGCAGGACAGCCTGGGGGTGGGGGTGGGGAGAGGCAGGTCAGGAGTCGACACAGGTCAGTCATCCCAACCTGGGGAGGAAGCCCCTCCTTTCATGGGAGGGCAGAGAGCGCCCCTCCCAAGTGCCTTGGCCAAACTCTTCCCCCAAATGCAAATTCCTGAACGGTCCTGGCAGCCTTCCCAGTCTCTGGTTGGGGGGAGGGGGGGTTGCCTAAAACAGCTGTGATGCAAAGCAGCCCCCAGAACAAGTTCTGGGAGCCTCACCTTTGGGCTCCTCAGAATCAGCGCCTGGAAAGTGCTGGTGGTGATTTCCTGAACCAGGTGCTGCTGCAGGTGGGTCTGGCTGGGCCGGGAGTCACCAACGAGATGCCTCTTCAAGGGGCTGAACAGGACAGTGTAGTTGCGGATGAAGGTTTCTGCAAGGAAGAGGCGGGAGGTCAGTGGAGCGAGAGCTGCTCTGGGTCTTCTTGGGATTAAGCACAAAGGCGTAAAAGGTTTGCGGGAAAGAAGAGAAAGAGCTGAAGAAATTGCAGCATTTCCCAGGCAAAATTTCCTGGCTGCCGTCCTCCTCCCGCTGCCCCTGCCGCGAAGGTGGAGCCGGTGGAGGGGCAGCAGCAGGCCGTACCAAGGCTGGCTCTTAAGAGGGCCCGTTTCTGGCCCAGGACGTAATGCACCTCTTCTTGAAGGTCCACGATGGCAGCGAACTCCTTTGCCGGGGGAGAACCAGCGGCCCCCAGCCTCTCCGCGTACTTCCAGAAGAGGTTTGAGTCCAGCAGGTAGAGATTGAGGGTCTTGTTGGTCCTGCAGCCGAGACCGGCCACGGCAGAGCCAGGGAGGCCAGCCTGCTCCTCAACGTGTGGAAGAGACTCGGGGCTGCCCTCCTGCCGGCTCTGTCCGTGGAGAGCGAGGGAGGCTTCCCGCGGGTGGAAAGGGGCCCCTTTGGCCCTGACCAAGTCCTGCAGGTCCCTGTTCACCGTCCTACAGCAGGCGGTGTAGGAGCCGAAAGGGCTATAGAAGCTGAGGAAGTTGCTGCACCAGGAAACCGTCTTGGAGACGACACGGAAGGCCTGTTCCTTGAGGTAGAAGGAGTCCACGGCTGCCTCGATGGCCACGGAGCTGCAGCTCAGGCGCACCAGGGGGCTGGGCTGCACCCCGCCCGTCCGGTTGACGCACAGCTCGCAGACGTTGTGAGTCCGGGAGAGGCCATGCCACTGGGCAGGCAGCAACACCGTGTTGCAGCAGGGGGGGCTGGAGGAGCTTCCAGCTGTGGGGAGGCGGAGACTGGCAGGCACTGGGGGGTCCCCTCCCTGCAGGGACTGGGGCTCCACGTCCTCTTGCTGGCTTCGGTTGCAACTCTTGTACTCTAAAGCCAGTTTGGAAATCTAGAGAAAAGAACAGAAGAGCAAACTGCAAGCCTGCTCCTCCCGGGGAACCTCGCAAACGCAGCCCTGGCAGCACGAGGGCCCAGTGGCTGCCACAGAGGAGGCTTGATCCCAGAGGGCAGCTGGGCTAGCCAGCAGCCATGCCAGGTCACTTCTCCTCCTCCTCCCTTGGGATTGTTCTGGGATGCCTGGCCAAAAAATGGCTCGGGACCCAAATTTCTGAACTGCAGATTCCCCAAGGGTGACACTGCTTGGGGACAGCAGAGGACCAAGAAGGGGCAGCTGTGCCACCAAGGGCCAGTCCAAGCCGGCCCTCGCTCACCTCATCCAGGAGGGGGTGGCTCTCGGCCAGCGGATCGAAGGGCAGGAAGAGGAAAAGGGCCGGCCCCTTCTTCAGCTCGTTGTACAGCAGAAGGCTCTTCCCGCCGTGGGGTCTCAGCCAGCGGAGGAAGGTTTCCCGGTTCTCCAGGGCCCACTTCCAAACGTTTTCAGCAGTGAAGTTCAGGGTTTCGTGGGGATAAAGCTAAAAGGAGAGGAGAGCCGGTTCTCGAGTGCTGCAAGCCAGTCACAGAACAAGCAATTGGACCGACCACCTGATGGGATGCAGCCCCCCCCCCCAGCAGACGCTCTCACCACCCACCTCTTGCACCCCAGGCTGTGCGCGAAACCCCTGCAAGGGCCCCAAAGAAGCTGATCCAGGAAGGAAGCCTTTCTGTGCCCGATACAAAGAACTGGGTCGATTCCCAGCATAGCTCAAAGGAGCAGAGCCCACCAGCAGGCAGGATCACCCAAGAAATTCCACCCGACACAGGAGGTCACAGGGAAGGCACAGCTCTGAGGCCGGGAACTGCTGAGCAGAAGGGGATTATGGGCTGGTTGAAGCCAGCTCAGCCCCTCAAGCAATGAAATGCCTTTCTCTACCTTTATTTAGTTTTTTATCTAAAAGCTGTGCCTGCCCTGGACACTCTTCAGAGGAACAGCTTCGTTTCTTTAGACGTTTCCTTTGCTGAGCCCAGAAGCAGCTGCTGGGGCTGAGCCAGGGACTGGTGCCTCTGGGGGAGGGTAGCGCTTCAAGCCAAGCAGGAGGATCTCTCAGGGGCCGCTGGGGATCCGCTGGCTTTCTTTTGGGCTGCAAACTGGGGTGGCAATACTCACAAGGGATGTGTTGACGTGTCTATGTAAGTAGATGGTGCCTGAATCGGTCAGCGCAATTTCCTTAGCAAGCAGCCTATTGGTGATCACCCCAAAGTGAATGGTTCCCAGGTAATCTGTCAGAATATATCAGGGAACCCGTAAGGAAAACAACAGCTGGCTTTTCCCAGGAGTCCTCTCAGCAGGCAGGGGAGATGGCTTTTCCATCTTCTGTGACTACTGCCCGACCGGTGCAGCCACCGCAGCAGCCAACTGGAAAGCATGGGGGCTTCCCAGCCTCTGAAGGCTCCTGGGGCTTCAGAGCCTGCGGGGTGCCTGAGCGCCACCAAAAAGACCCCTGCAGCCCTTGGACAAATCAGGACGGGAGATTCTCCATCAGCTCCACCATTGCCCTCCCTTGGCCAGGCTGGAAGCAGCCGTAAGAGCTGCCGCCTGCCTTCAGGTTCAAACAGGGTTAATTAGGAGTCCCTGCAGAAAACTGTCTCCCCCACCCCCATGAGCATCCAGCTGTGCTGTTTGTGTCCTAGGCTGCTTTTGTTGCCATGAAACAGGCCAGAAAATGGCACCTCCTGGAAAGCAGCGCTTGCCCCCTCAGGACACAGCATGCCACAGGCTCCATAAAGGCCACTCCTGCCCTCGTCTCCCATGAAAGTGAAAGCCAGGAAGGCCACACGCCAAGAGGGCGGCCCCATCACTGACCTTTGTTTAAGGAGTGCAGCGCTGAAGCGAAGAAGGTCAGGTAGCCGGGGGGCTGGGGAGAAGCGTTGAACTCAAAGTATCCCAAGATGCCAGGCTGCAACAGGCAAAGGCGGGACGAAATGAATGCAGGAATTCCCTTTGCAAGGAGATGGCCAGACTCGCCGCTGCCCGCCATGGTGGGAGAGGGGAGGTAGTCTACACACACCCAGTTTACAAAAAGAATGGGAATTGCAATGGGACAAAGATCCAGCAAATGCCCAAGCTTTGCAAGAGCTGGGAAAGTTAAAATCTGACTCGGGCAAACTTATTTGGGGGAAGGAAGCAGCTAAAAAGCAGCTACAAAACCCGCAGAAAAGCCAGCCTGTCCACTCAGAGGCGTTTGTCTTTCCAGCTGGCTCCCTCCAGGTGGCTTGGAGCAACAGAGAAAACCCACAAACCACAATCAGACCACAATCTCTGCTTAGGCAGCCAGACACTAAAAACAGAAGCAGCAATTGGAACGCCAGGTGAAACTTGCTTCCTGTTCTTCCTCCCTTGCCCTAATCTAATTGGTCTACCTTGAAAAGCATAAAAACATAATTTCAAAAGGGGAGGGAAAGGGGGGGGGGGAGAGAAGGCAGGCACCACCTGCAAAGAAATCCTTCCCTTTGCTGCACAGGGATGAGCTGCTTCTGAGACGCTCCCAGCTGTGCTGTACCAAAAAAAAAAACACCATTCTTTGAACGGAAATACATCCTCTGCTGTTTAAAGCCTCTGCTCTGAAAACGCAGAGCTAATAATTTCCTCCAGCAACTACCTTAGTTGACGTGGGCTTCTGACTTTGTGAGGGGTGCAGACATTTCAGAATATTATCACGCTGCCCCACTCCCCACCCAGCTATGGCCCTCTTTCCCAGCGTTATCAGAAAGAAACGGACGAGGCCAATTAGGAAAGATGCCAACCAGTTTCCAGTTTTAAAAAGTTGCAATGAGAAACCTTTTAGGAGCCTCAGAAAAAAAAAGCTGTGCTCTTGGCAGTGAGGGATAGTAGGACTGCCATTGAAAGCAACCAGACCCAGCATTAGAAGCCCGTCACCCCCAGAACAGAGCAGGTTACCTCGTAACTGGAGAGGAACCGCTGCAGTTTGGACTGAGATGAGACGTATAAAAGGGGAGTCATCACTCGACGGACAAATTTCTCAATGTAAACAGCATTCATCGGCCCTTTGTATTCGATAGGCCCAAAGCTGCCATTGAAGAAAACAGAGACTGTGTCAGAAACTGCCAACGCAAATCAAATTCCTATGCTGAGAATGGCTGGAGCTGGCAAAGGCAGAACCTCAGCATCGGAGGCCAGGAGGGTCTGCCAAAGAAGAATTTAATATAAATGGAAAATCACTTTCTTCCGTCTCAAGACCCAGCCAACTCCTGCTGGCTGGGAAGGCGGCCATGGGCATCCCGAACAGGAGAGGAGCTGTCGGCCTGATGCCCTCCTCAGCCTGCAGAAACTCTCTGCCTGGCCCCAAAGAACGGCCTGAGCTGCTGGAAAGGCCCTCAGCCCGAGCAGCACTGAAGAAAAGCCTGGCCACAGGCAGAGGACGCAGCAGGTGAAACCAGAGCTGGAAAGAGCCTCACTGGAGCTGCCCTCAAGTCGCACCTCCTGCACTTTGCTCAGGCCTCTGGGATTACACGATGGTCAGTCCGACTTTTTTCCTCCCATTACAGCCCCAACATGCCTTTCACAGAAGCTCTCACCTCTGATGGTACAAGTATATCACGGGAAAGTAGAAAAAATGCTTCTGTTTTCTGCATTTCCCTTGGTTCCACCAGCAGTTGATGGCTACGAACAACACCTACCGGGGGAAAAACTCGTAAAAGAGGCAACCACAAAAGGCTAGATTCAGAAAACCTTTTGAGAGACGCACAGCAATCAATGTGATCACAAGCTGCAGGCTGCACCTTAAAGGATCTGCAGCGGATGCAAAGTGGCAGCCCCTCCAAGGCCTGGCACAGCCCACCCTCCCTTACCTGGTCAGCCAGGCTCTTTGCCACTTGCTCGATCTCTTCCCGCACAGCGGCTGACTGGCCGCACCACGGAGCGTAAAAAAAAACCAGCGAGATCTCTGAACTTTGACGGATGTCCTCTGCTTGATCCAGCTGCCCAAGAAAGAGATCGTGGACTGGTGACGTCGAAGGGAAGAAGCTGACAGGCAGCTTGGCAGGCATCGTCACATCTTTTGCACGGCTGCGGGGTGGGGGGGGAGAAAAGGGGGCTCAGAGACCAAGACCAACAGAACTCACCCTCTCCCTACTAGTAGAGAAAGCGGGAAAAACAGTCCATTCGCAGGAAAAGTCCTTCAACCTCAGCCCACAGAAACCCACGCTGGCTCGGCTCCTGAAAAGGTCGTCCCCACTAGCAGGGATCCGTAGAGACAGGTTGCCCGGGGGGGGGGGGGCAGGCCAGAGGAAAGCAGGGCCTCCTTTGCCAGCCTCCTTTCCAAGCCGTCTTGGTTGGGGGTCCTGTGAAAAAGGACCTTCCAAACATGCCCCGCTCGACTCTCTTGACCGTCACTTTCCCGTTGGGGCTTCCAAAGGGAAGGGCCAGAGGGGGAAGCAAGCCAGGGCTCCGCTCCAGCATGTTCCCCGGCTTTCTGATCTTGGAATCCGCTCGATTCCAAAACTGCTAAGGGAAGTTTTCAAAGACAGGCTTCAAAGGGGGATTAAATGGGACGGAGCGCCTCCTGCACTGGACCAGAGAATCCCGCAGGGCCCCCTGAGCCAGGGCCAGGCAGCCCCGCGGCCCCTCCACCGGCCCTTTCCCAGAAAGGAAGCGTGACGTGGCCAGCCCTGTGTCCGGCCCTGCAGCCAAGGCCCTCTCTCCCCGCACAGCCGAAGGCTCGAGGGGCCTGGTCCCCGCACGCCTGCCTGCCTGCCTGCCTGCCTGCCTGGCTGGCGTCGCGGGAGAGGCGCGCGTGGCGAGGGCGCCCCTTCCAGGACCAGGCTCGGACTCGCATCCCCCGGCCGGCCTCCGCCGCTCACCTGCACGAGGCCCGCAGCGCCAGCAGGCAGGCGCAGCCCAGCACCACGGCGGCGCCGCACAGCACCTCGGGCCGCCGGGCCATGCGGGGGGCGGCGGCGGGCGCTCCGCTCTCCTGTGCGGGCGGCGGCGGGGCGGCGGGGCCTTCGCTGGCCGACGACATCCCCTCCCCGGCGGCCGGGCCTGCCTGCCCGAGGCGGGGCCGAGCGCGCCTCCGGGTCGGGCCCGCGCCGGGAAGCCGAACGGGGCGCCGCCACGTCTCCCGGCCCGCCTGATGACGGCGCAACTGGGCGGGGGCGCGCGACGCCCGGCCTCCTCCGCGGGCCCGCCCTCCGCCATGGGCCGCGACGAGCCTCCGCGCCAGGAGAAGCCTATCGGGGGAGGGGCCGCCGACACGGGGAAGGTGGAACGTGAGAAGGGAGCGCCCCCGGGGGCCCCCCCGAGTATCCCGGATAGGAGCGGCGCCACTTGACGCCAGGCCGCCGCAGAACCGGAGCGGCGCCACCGCCGGAGGGGACTGAGTCGAGGGCCCCCGGCCGGCCGCCTTTTATACGGCTGGGCCGACGCCTCTCAGCCAATGGGAAGGCGCCTGCGCGGGCATTGGCCCCTCAGCCGGCCAATGGAAGGGGCAGCGCCCCCATCCCTCCGGCGGACGAGGTGCCCCTGGAGAGCCCCCCCCCCTCCCCCCTGGCAGGCAGGTGTCAGCCTCTGGGTCTCCCTTAAGCAGGCTCCTTATGAATGATCCTTTTGGGAGGCCGAGATCGGTTTAGGAAAGTCTTTATGTAAAGTTCTTTTTATTACAGGCAATATTGGTCCGTACAATACACAATACTGACATACAAGCTGAATCTTTCAAAATCATCATTTAACAGTAAAGACCAAGAAACAATTTTTAACTACTTGATTCTCAAAAAAGTAATACGCATCTCTCTTCCAAGATCCTTTTTGGTAAGTTATATTGAAACATACAAATAGAGAAAAATACCCCATTCAACATATATTGTTGTTAAATGGTTATTTTGCTTAAAATCTTTTTAATAAGAAAATCCTTTTATTAAGCAACCTACATAGAGATAAATAGCAAACTGGTTTTTAGAGAAATCCTTTCCATTAAAACATCTGAAGAATTTCATCCATCATTTTCTTCTGAGCTCAAACACTCTGTTTTAAGAAGCTTACCTTAAAAGGTTTCAGCTGAAAGGCCAGCCGGAGGGGCTCCCTCGGCATTACAACACCCTCCTCTGGCTATTTTCCAACTTTCTTCTGTCCAACAGAAGGCGAATAAGCACGTAAGACTTCAGGCTGTGGTTTTTATTATGACTTCACCATTCTGTTTCATGAGAGCACAGACAGACCTGCCGACTTACTCCCCCTAACACATCTACTACATTTTGTTCTTCAGGAGGAACAATACGGGCCAATAAAAGCAGAAAATCTGCAGCTTCTGTCACATGCTTTTGATTATTGTCAAATTCTGATTTTATGCTTCCATCTGGCAACACAATGCATCGTTATCATTAGTTTAAATCTTTAAACAAAAAACTATATTTTCCAAAGTCATTATCGTTGGGAGCAATCAAGTGGTCTTTTCGGGCTTTGTTGAATTTCATCCTTAGGACGTGTCTCCGCTCCTCCCATTCACGGAGTTCAGCTGGTCCATGTGCAAATTTACAGTTATTCCCCTCGATACATGCGCCAGCCACAAATCTGCACAAAAGAATAAGCGAGTCACACCTTCTTCAAATGCAACATTGGTGGACGGCATCAGCGGCCCAATACAATGCCGGACACCAGGTGAAACCTTTTGCCGCCAATTCCAGCTTCCAACCTGGCTGAGTCTCTCTAAGCAGGCAATGAAAGGGGAGGGGTGAGGGCGTGGCTTATTAAGAGCCTGTAGTACAGTGGACTGAAGCACTGTTATTAACATCTGCTGCTTGCAATTACTGCAAGTTCAAATCTCACCAGGCTCAAGGTTGACTCAGCCTTCCATCCTTTCAAAGATAGGTGAAATGAGGACCCAGATTGTGGGGGCAATAAGCTGACTTTTGTATATTTTGTATACTTGTATACAAATATACTTTTGTATATTTTGTATAAATATACAAAAGTATGAAGGCTATTGCTTAACGCATTGTAAGCCGCCCTGAGTCTCCAGAGAAGGGCGGCATATAAATTAAAGCAAAAAAAATAAAAATAAAAAAATTATTGTGGCTTTGCCTTGCTGTCAAATTTAACATCAGTTCTGCTCGCTACGGAAAAGGCAAAGCAGAGAAGCCCCCTGTTTGGCATGTACAGATAGTGAAATGGATTAACCCTTTTACTTCCAACTCTGCTAAACTGGGAACCTAAAAGAATCATAACTTGACACAGCTGGCTTGCTGTGGATACGATAAGCAGATCCGAAAATTGCAGAAGGAACCTACCTATCACAAATGCTGAAATACCCAGTTGGAAAGCGATGCTGCCAGCGGTTTTGGTCATCTTCAGTGTGGAAAACTTTCTCTTTATGTTTTTCGGAAGAAATGTGGCCTTGCCATTGTTTCTCACTGTTGCAGTTTTTGCCACACATCCAGCAATGGAAGTCCACCTGTTGATACAAACCCAAAGGAGAACTGCAGGGCAGGCCACACATGTGAATCTAAGCAATTTGCACTGAGCCAAACCGGCAGCTTTCCAGCAGTGAATGTGTCGAGAGGGCCCGAGAACCCCTCGCAGTACCTGCTGCCTCCTCCCCAAGAGCCACGGGTTTAAGCATATAAGCTGCCAGACGTTGCTACCAACCAGGAAGTAGTCCTCCAGGGATGGCCTTTGGGGTGCTTAGGTCACACCCAGAAGCAGCAGCTTCTGGATATCCCGACCTCTTGCGCTTCAGACCATCACAAAGCTCGCTCCCCTCTGCTAAAAGGCCACACAATCATCAAGCAAGCATTGCATAGCAAGATGACCGATTCCAGGGTAACTGTTCTGTCTCTGTGACTTACTGTGACTTCAGCATAATCGGTTGGCATATGAATTTGTTTCCCATTTTCTTTGTTTCCTTGAGGGGTTGGATCCTCTCCTTTTTCTGGCTTTTGACTCTTCAGCCACATTTCATACAGCTGCTCCATGTCTTGAACTGAAGGAAAGGGGCTTACATAAGTCCACAGCAATTGATATTTGAGCAAGGAAATTCTCGGAGGGGGCATTAACTTACTAACAGAATAAACTCAAGGACTCTTATTAATGCAACTTAATTCTGTCATAGAAACCTGGGGTTATTCTCTCATATCTTTATGGTAATGCTTCCATCTGGGAACTGGACTACCGGAAGCCAAATGTTAATCATTGTGAGCCGCCTTGAGTCTTCGGAGAGGGGTGGCATACAAATTGAATAAATAATAAATAAATAAATAAATCAGATCACCCCAGAAAGAGGAGTCAGAAAGGGGCAGACGCATCTATTAAACGAAGGAGGGAAAGGAAGGGAGAGCACATTGCAAGGCAGAGTCACCAAGGCAGGTGGCCTGTGAATTTACTTCCTCCTCTCAATGATTGTTTACTTACTGCCATTCTCTTTCATGTACGTCCACATTTCTCGCTCTTCCTGACTGTGAGCAAAGGAGCAGTTCCCAACATACAAACACTTCTTGCCTGATGCAATATGATTGCATAGCTGGACAAAGGAAAGGAACAAGTCAGCGAAGACATGTTCTATCCGGGGGGTGAGGGGAAAGAGAAAGAGCTCTGGGCAATCAAGGGGAGTGGATAGGAAGAAGAGACGAAGGAACCAAAGCCTGGCGAGATCAGCAAAGCCTAACGCCTGTTCTGGCCTGCAAAGGATTCTGATGGCAGTCCCTGTGGCACAGAGGGCTTGGCATGTAGCCCGTGGATAGATCTGGGTCACTCTCTCAGCCCACCACCTTGGACGCTTTCAGAGACAAAGAGGAGGCAAATAAATTACCTCCACTCCTTTAAGGTAAAATTTAAACTTATTTTCCTAGTTTAGGATTTTTTTTAAATATTCAAATGGTTGAAAAACATTTTAAAATAGGATAACAAAGGACAAATTAGGAAAAGAAAAACAAGCAGGTTATAAAGAGATGCTCACATCGAATTGCAAAGGTGCCTGCTTCTTTGTGGGAAGGGGGCGAATTGTGTTCCACTTCTTGCGCTCATTTGACATCACTAGCATGACACGGCGATCCCTGGTCCACCTGTAAAGGAAAGGCCCCCTTGGCTACATCACCACCTCAAGATGGCTGCCCCAGGAAACAAAATGGAACTCCCACGAATGGAAGCGTCTCGGCTTGTGGCTCTGAATTCTCCTGCCAGCAACACTTGAAGACGTTGCCGAAGTTGAGAAGCACTGATCTAGGCTGCTGGAGAGCTCTGCACCTTTTATAGCTCTGCTGTGGCTCTGAGGCCTTCTGTGGAGCTGAGGACTTTACTCAGGGCCAGCAAAGCAGCTTTCGGGATCAGATAGCAGAAGGAAAGACTCACGGCTTGGTATGACAGCTGTGTTATCAGCCAAGTCAGACAACACAGAGATAGACAGGCAACCTGATCTACAGTCTACATGGTTGCTAAGGGTCAGCCTGCAAACACAGCAGGCCACAGATTCCCTCAGGAGGCGAATACAAGTGTCACTACGTGAATAAGAAACCACATAACTCAGGTAAACCCATTTGCTGCCCCCCTCCTGCACCTTTGAAAGGCAGAAATGACTTACGGGTGCCTGGCTTTTGCACTGCAGTATTTTCTGTTTTTGTCTGGCTCACTAACTTGGCCATTTCTCCAACACTGAGCACAGACAAACTTCATTTTCAAATTCAGGGAGCCATGCTTCACCTGGTTGCTGAGAATCTTGAGAGATACAACAGAACACAATTTTAGATTGGTCAAAATTATTCTTTGTGCCATTAACCACCCACAAAGAAGGGACAAAGCCATAAAGGCCACTTTCTCCAATGTGGCTCTACCTGAACCTTAAAATTTGGTGCAGAACCTCTCCCCCCCCGCCCCCAACCGAATGCAACGGCAGGAGCAGTCCGGTGGATGGCAATCATGGAGAGAGCTCTGTGACAGCATTTATGGAATATCTTCCTCAGCAAGCAATGAAGGGAACCGATGCAGTAAAGGCAGCATTTTAAGCTTTTAGGAGGCTTGTTAGCTTTTGGCATTTCTTTTAAAGTATTTCTGAGGCAAGAGATGGCTATAACATCTACAG